CCTATGAAGGGAGAAGACCGGTTCAGCCCATCAACTAATCCTAGCAGTTACAATGCAGTCTTCCCTAACATTTCTTTTCTTAATTTTGCATATTTATACAATTTAATCCAGGTTAATAACTCCCCATAACCCTCCCACCATTTGCTGATTGGTTGGCTAATTTGCATAAGGTTACATAATTTATTATCTTACTAGGCATGCTCAGGGAAGGGTCATTTAACCTGGGCAGGGGTCTTTTGATCTGTGGGTGTGATTTTTAGTATTTTAATGAGGGTATAATGAGGATAGTTCATCTAAAGGACATCTGAACCATGTTTTCCTGACACGTGAAGCCATATTTTGATGATGTCCATGTATTTTCAGGTTGTACCACACTTCAGCGGTTTCCTGATTAGAGGTTCGTTAGCCCTGTTTTCTTAATCTGCCTACACAAGGGCAAAGCCTCCTCTCCCAACTATCAATTCTCTTCATCCATGCTGTTCATCCTGACCTTGTAGGAGGCCCTTGTATCTGTCCAGGCTTTTCCATAGTAACACAAGTTTCAATTTTTTAACTGCATGCCTATGGAGCTGAAGTGACTCTAGTCATACATGGTTTTGTTACTGATTGGTGTAAAATTCTCTTGCTTTTAAAAATACAAATCTAGTTTCCTTGTTTGGCAGCTGCTGTGCGGTTTATCAGTACATGGCCCTCCTCTAGACCCTCTCCAACAGGTCCATATCTTTCCTGTACTGAGGACTCCAGAGCTGGATGCAGTACTCCAGGTGGGGTCTCACTAGAGCAGAGGAGAATCATCTCCTTTGACGTGCTGGCCACGCTTCTTTAGATGCAGCCCAAGATACAATTGGCCTTCTGGGCTGTAAGCGCACATTGCCAGTTCATATCCAATCTTTCATCCACCAGTACCCCCAAGTCCTTCTCCTCAGGGGTACTCTCAATCCCTTCATCCCCCAGCCTGTATTAATCCTGGCAGATGCCCCAACCCCTGTGCAGGACCTTGCACTTGGTCTTGTTGAACTTCATGAGGTTCATGTGAACCCCCTTCCTGAGCTTGTCCAAATCTCTCTGGATGGCATCCCATCCCTCAGGCGTATCAACTGCACCATACAGCTTGTTGTCATCTGCAAACTTGCTGACAGTGCACTCAATCACAATATGTAGTTGATGAGGATATTAAACAGCACTGGTCCTAATACAGACCCCTGAGGGATGCCACTTGTCACTGGTGTCCATCCAGACATTGAGCCATTGACCACTACCCTTCAGCCAATTCCTCATCCACTGAACAGTCCACCCATCAAATCCGTATCTCTCCAATTTAGAGAGAAGGATGTTGTGGAGTACTCTGACAAAGGCTTTACAGATGTCCAGATAGACAATATCCATAGCCCTTCCTTTTACCACTGGTGTATTTACTTCATCATAGAAGCCCACTAGGTTGGTCAGGCAGGGCTTGCCCTTAGTGAAGTGGTGCTGGCTGTCTCAAATCACCTGGCTGTCCTCCATGTACCTTAGCATAACTCTTAGGAGAATCTGTTCCATGATCTTCCCAGGTGCAGAGGTGACACTGACAGATTGGTAATTCCCGGGGTGCTCCTTTCTACCCTTTTTATAAATTGATGTGATATTTCCCTTTTTCCAGTCACCAGGGACCTTGCCTAACTGCCATGACTTCTCAAATATCATGGAAAGTGGCTCAGCAACTACATCATTTGTTCCTCAAATGGTCATGAGCCTGATATTCACTTAAAGTGGGAGGAACTTTGCTTCTCCTGTCCCCACCTTGCAGTTCATCCACTTGAGGTGTGGGAATAGATCCTGCCAGTGAAGACTGAGGGAAAAAAGTTGTTGAGTACCTCAGCCTTCTCCTTGTCCATTGTTACCAGTTCACCAGTCTTGCTCATCAAGGGGGGCACACTCTCTTAGACCTTCCTCTTGTGGTTGACATACCTGTAGAAGCCCTTCTACTAAAACCTGTGCATTTCCTTCTTACCCTTTAGTTCGACCAGCAGGTCTTGACTCAGCTTGCCTCTTCCTTACTCTGTTTCTTACACCTGAGGTTCATGAGCCTCCTTAAAGATCTGCCAGCTCTGTTCTTTTCCCTTGTCCCTGAGGGCAGTTTCCCAGGGGATCCTATTGACTAACTCCTTACAGAGTTGGAAGTTGGCTTTCCTAACATTCAGGGTCCTGACTGTATTCTTTGCCTGTCTCACCTCCCTCAGAACTGCAAACTCCATGAGTGGGTGATCGCTACCGCCCAGGCTGCCTCCAATCTTGATGTCACTGATTAGCTCACAGTAGTAACCATTACATATTGCTTCTCCCCTGGTAGGGCTGTCTATTACCTGGCTTAAATAGTTATCTTCAATGCACTCCAGGAGTCTCTTGGATTGCCTACAGCTTGCTGTGCTACTTTTCCAGCAGATGTCAGGGTGGTTGAAGGCCCCAGCAGGACAAGAGCCTGTGAGCACAATGCCTCCTGTAGCTGGAGTAAGAAGGCTTTATCAATAGTCTCCCCCTGATTGGGTGGCCTGCAGCAGACACCAATCACAAGGTTTACTTTGTTGCCTTTCAACTTGCTTGTAGCTATTCTTCAGAGACAACTCTTCACACTCGATCCATCTCTTGATGTAGAGGTGTCCTGTGTTCAGTTGTAACAGTTATTTTTCTCCTTCCTAGTAGCTGGTGCAATGCTGTGGTATTCCATACCACAGCATGTCATGCCCAGTATATAAACTGGGGGGGAGTCACCTGGAATGCCCAGATTGCTGCTCGGGTCGGGCTGGGTATCATTTGGGGAGTGGTAAGCAATTGTATTGTGCATCATTTGTGTTTGTTATTTGGAGATTTTTTCCCTTCCTTTTATTTTGTTTAATATTTTTTCCCCTTGTTACTTCCCTTATCATTATTATTATTATCAGTAGTAGTAGTTTTATATTATACTTTAGTTACTGTAGTATTCTTATCTCAACCTGTGGGATTTCCATTCTTTTCATTCTCCACCCCATCCCACTTGGAGCAGGGGGGAAAAGGGGGGGAGTGAGTGAGCAGCTGTGTGGTTCTGAGTTACTGACTGGGATTAAACCACAAGAAGAGGGCAACTTCTCCACCCTTCCTTCCTTGCCTATCCCTTCTGCACAGTCTGTAGCCGTCGTTAGCCACATTTGTCATGGGATCCTTCTCACCAAGTTTCAGTAACAGCCACCAGGTCATAGCTTTCTAGCTTCACAGTGGCTTCCAACCCCTCCTGTTTGTTGCCCATGCTGCATGCATTGGTGTAGAGGCACTTCAGCTGGGCTGTTGGCCTCATCACATTCTTAGAGGAATACCTCCTAATTCATTTGAAATGTTTCACTGGTGTTTCCCTGTTGGCTCCTATTACCTCGGGTGCACCTTCCTCATCTCCATAAGACTTCAAGTGTGTTCCAGTGTGACCAATGCATCTCAGAGACTCTGGTTGAGTGTCCTCACTAGCACCCCACCCCAGTAACTTTGGCATCTTGTCCCACAGCTTGTCACAGGTGAACTTAATATTGTCCACCTCCCCCTTCATGTGTAGCTTAAGACTCTGTCAATGAGCTCTGTTAGCTCATGAGCGAAGACCTTCTTCCCCCTTTGAGAAAGGTGAATCCTGTCCCATGCCAGCAGGACTGGTGCCATGTAGGCCATCCCACTATCAAAAAACCCAAAATGGTGGCAGCGACAACAGCCATGGAGCCATGTATTAATGGACTGGGTCCATCTATTTCTTCTAATGTCGCTGCCTGCAACTGGAAGAAAAGAGGAGAAAATAACCTGTACCCCAGATCCCCTCACCAGCCATCGAAAGGCCCTGAAGTCTCTTTTGATCGCCCTTGGACTACAGATCTCAGCTTCATCACCACCCACATGGAAGATCAGTAATGGTAGTAGTCCAAGGGCCATACCAGGCTAGGAAGTTTCCTAGGAATGTACTTAACCTGGTCCCCAGGGATGCAGCAGGCTTCCCTATGAGGAGAGTCTGCTTGGCATATTGGACCCTCTGTTCTTCTCAGAAGGAAGTAATTTGCAGTATTTGCCAGTTTCCCAGGCTTCTCTGATGCAATGGATGTGGCATTTTGGATTTACTAATTTGCTTTTGTATCTTTGTAGTTTTCTTTATTATCATGCACTTTTAAATTATGTGCTCAATTTCTTGCTTCCTTTGTGGCCAAATATAAATTACTTGAACTAGAGTGCTCTATACTCCGTCATGTAACATATTATGATAATCGAAAATGATTTGCTTTCTTTCAGACTACCCTGTTATACATCTCTTCTTACTTTTTACCTGTTTCCTGGTTTAAACTGCAGTAGTTATTCTGTGTCAACTGATCTAATTGATCACTATACTGTTTCTCAGTATTCTTTTCAGTCTCTCGTGTGCTTTAACATACTTATATATTTTTCCCACTGTCTCTCTGAGTTTGTAAAATGAACCTCTAGTTTTCTTCCATCACTATTGGTCTTCCATTGTCTTCTTTCCATCCCCCTTTCTCCCAGTCATAAATCTAGTATTTTATTCCATTATTAACATAATCACTGTGAATAAAGAGAGATAATAGGTCCTGTTTAAAGGATTAGTGTCTTTTATTAACTTCTATGGTAGTCTATACGTCTGCTGTCTGAGATTATCTTTTGTTGTGGGTTGACCCTGGACAGCAACTAAATACTCATAGAGCCACTCACTCAGCCCCCACTTAATGAGATGGGTGAGAGAATAAGAACAGCAAAAAGCAAGAATATTCCTGGGTCCAAGTAAAGACAGCTTAATAAGAGAAGAGAAAAAAAAACACAAATGATTCAAACACACCCAACTCCTGCCCACTCTTCTTGAAAGACCTGTCACCTGCCATCCAGCCCCTCCACAGACATAGCCCAAGGGTGTCAGAAGCCCACTCAGATACCCCTGGTGATCTCACAACTTTCTTCAAACTATTCTTGTTTTATTTCTAATTAATTATTAATGTTCTTATTATTAGTCTGTAGAAGCTGCTTGGTGAAGTATTTGGAGGAAAACAACACCTGTCCAACATGTCGGATTGTTATACACCAGAGCCATCCATTACAGTATGTCGGGTAAGTGTGTAGTGTGAAAGGAAAAGCACAGCTAGTTACTCTCTGGGCTGTACAAACATCTCAAATACAGCACAGTTTATCTCTACATTTTTTAATTTGCTTAACAGTATTTTAAATATATGTAAAGAAGCTTGTTTAAAAGATAGATTTATATGAAAGAGGTAAGGTATTGAGTTCTGCTGTGAAATTGCAATTCTTTTGAAGCAAAACATTTTCTCTGGAGTCAGACAAACACAATAGACTTTATTTAATTTCTGAGTGACATTTAATGAGATTTAGTCACTTCCTGGTTTGTCTGCTTGGATCATAGAGGTTGCACATATGGAACATCTACATGAATTATACTTGTATTAAATCTTAAGAATAATGACCGGCAGTTGGATAGTGGTTTTCAGTGACTGAGAGGGTGTGTTCAAAGACTTTGCAAATACACAGCATTATTGTTGATTTAGTCTTTCAAAGGACTATTTTGTTCATAGGTGCGGATGAGAAAGTTGTTATCAGAAAAATTAGAGTAGTGGTTTCAATATCTTGAATGGAATAGTCTCTGAAAGATTTGTGCCTACTTCTTTCCATTCCCATACAGGGCTTCATTACTGTGTTACCTAAAATAAATGGGATGTTGTATCCTAATTTCTTTCTTTTTCATTGTATTTTCTGCTAATTTGTACATTATATTTCTTTTTCTTCAACAGTTTCCTCTCATTTAAAAAATTTCAAAGGTATCAGCCAAATGTTATACCACTTGACTTGACCAGATCTGCACTAGAGATTTGTACCATAGCAACTTTTATTGATATAAATTTACTGAGACAGTGTGTTCACAATAGCTGTTGCACATTGTGTAGACTCTTGTCTACCTCCATGCAAAGTTTCTTTTAGTTTGTGGCACTGCTTTAAATGTGCATGTCTTGGTTCTAGTGCAGCTTTTGAAGAAGTGACTATCAAAAATGAATTTGATTGTTTCTCCACTTTCTCTGAGAATTGTGCATGTCCTATAAAAAATTTCTGAATTGCTCAAAGTTGAGTTCCCTTCAGGAGTCAGAAATAAGATGAGTTTTCTTATACCTTCCGAGAATGATATACTATACTATACTAGAGTGTATTTTGAAATATGACAAAACAGTAATGATAAATCCATGCCAGTATCACAGTATCACAGTATGTTAGAGATTGGAAGGGACCTCGAAAGATCATCTAGTCCAATCCCCCTGCCGGAGCAGGAACACCTAGATAATGTTACACAGGAATGCGTCCAGGCGGGTTTTGAATGTCTCCAGGGAAGGAGACTCCACAACCTCCCTGGGCAGCCTGTTCCAGTGTTCCGTCACCCTCACTGAGAAGAAGTTTCTTCTCAAGTTTAAGTGGAACCTCTTGTGTTCCACTTTGTACCCATTACCCCTTGTCCTATCATTGTTTGCCACTGAGTAGAGCCTGGCTCCGTCCTCGTGACACTCCCCCTTTATATATTTATAGACACTGATAAGGTCACCCCTCAGTCTCCTCTTCTCCAAACTATAGAGACCCAGCTCCCTCAGTCTTTCCTCATAAGGGAGATGTTCCACTCCCTTAATCATCTTTGTTGCCCTGCGCTGGACTCTCTCCAGCAGCTCCCTGTCCTTCTTGAACTGAGGGGCCCAGAACTGGACACAATACTCCAGATGCGGTCTCACCAGGGCAGAGTAGAGGGGAAGGAGGACCTCTCTCGACCTACTAACCACCGCCCTTCTAATACACCCCAGGATGCCATTGGCCTTCTTAGCCACAAGGGCACAGTGTTGGCTCATGGTCATCCTGTTGTCCACTAGGACCCCCAGGTCCCTCTCCCCTACACTGCTCTCTAACAGGTCGTTCCCCAACCTATACTGGAACCTGGGGTTGTTCCTGCCCAGATGCAGGACTCTACACTTTCCCTTGTTATATTTCATCAAGTTACTCCCTGCCCAACTCTCCAGCCTATCCAGGTCTCGCTGGATGGCAGCACAGCCTTCTGGCGTATCAGCCACTCCTCCCAGCTTAGTGTCATCAGCAAACTTGCTGATAGTACACTCAATTCCCTCATCTAAATCATTGATGAATATATTAAATAATACCAGTCCCAGTACTGACCCTTGAGGCACTCCACTAGTTACAGGCCTCCAACTAGACTCAGCCCCATAGACTACAACTCTCTGGCTTCTCTCCTTCAGCCAGTTCGCAGTCCACCTCACTACCTGATCATCCAGTCCACACTTCCTCATTTTAGCCGTGAGGATGCTGTGGGAGACTGTGTCAAATGCTTTGCTGAGGTCAAGGTAGACCACATCCACCGCTCTGCCATCATCCATCCACCGTGTTATTTCCTCATAAAAGGCTAAGAGATTGGTCAAACATGATTTCCCCCTGGTGAAGCCATGTTGACTGCCCCTCATAACCTTCTTATCCTTGATATGCCTTAAGATGGTACCAAGGATAAGGTGTTCCATCACTTTCCCAGGGATGGAGGTGAGGCTGACCGGTCTGTAGTTACCCGGGTCCTCCTTCTTGCCCTTTTTGAAGACTGGAGTGACATTTGCTTTCCTCCAGTCCTCAGGCACCTCTCCCGTTTCCCAAGACTTGGTAAAGATGATGGAGAGTGGTCTAGCAATGACTTCCGCCAGTTCCCTCAGCACCCGCGGGTGCATCCCATCTGGACCCATGGATTTATGGATGTCCAGATTGCTCAACTGGTCTCTAACCCATTCCTCATCGACTAAGGCAAACCGCTCCGTCGACCTGACTTCATCTAAGGTCTCAGGGGTACAGGGCTCTTCAGGACTGCCCGCAGCAGAGTAGACAGAGACAAAGAAGGCATTCAGTAACTCTGCCATCTCTTTATCTTCTGTCACCAGGGCACCCATCCCGTTCATCAGTGGGCCTACATTGCCTCTGGTGTTAGTTTTGTCTGCCATGTATTTAAAAAAGCTCTTTTTGCTGTCCTTGACCCTTCTTGCCAGGTTTAATTCTAAGGATGCCTTAGTCCTCCTAGCTGCCTTCCTACATCCTCTAGCAGCAGCCTTATATTCCTCCCAAGTGGCCAGCCCCTCCTTCCATGACCTGTAAACTCTCCTCTTCCACTTGAGCATACCCAGCAATTCCCTATTTAGCCACGCAGGTCTCTTGGCCCTCTTCCTTGACTTCCTACATGTCGGGATGCTCCGATCTTGAGCACGGAAAAAGCAGTCCTTGAATGTCAACCAACTATCTTGGGCCCCTTTACCTTCAAGCAGCCCTGCCCATGGGATTTCCCCTAGCAATTGCTTGAAAAGGCCAAAGTTTGCCCTGCTAAAGTCCAGGGTTGCAATTCTACTTGGTATTCTACTGGTCCTACCACACAAGATCCTGAACTCCACCATCTCGTGGTCGCTGCAACCAAGGCAGCCCTCAACCCTTACTTCTTCGACCAGATCCTCCTTGTTAGTGAGGATGAGATCCAGCAGCGCTCCTCTCCTGGTCGGCTCATCCACCATTTGCAGGAGGAAGTTATCATCCATACACTGGAGGAACCTCCTGGACTGTGGCTGGGTTGCCGAGTGGTCCTTCCAGCAAACATCAGGGAAGTTAAAATCCCCCACGACGACCATGACCTGTGACTGTGAGGCCGCTCTCAGCTGCCTGTTTTGTATTTTATTTATAGTTTGGAAGTCAGGGTAATGTTCTGGTCCTTTCAGTCAATGACTTGTTTTAGAGTAATCCAGGAAATGGAGTCTTGTAGTTAAACTTTGGTTGAAAACATCAGTGTTTAGAATCTTAACCAGTCCTACTTCCCCACCATTTCCTTCCTTAGTCTGTCTTTTTTTAGCTAGATGGGATTATGAGCTACATGATGTTGCTCTTGGGTAAAATGCTGAATTATAAGAGCAAATGCGGATTTTCTTTCCTTTGTTCTCTTTTATTCCTAGAAGCTTCTTTTCCTCATGTTTTGTAAAAAGCCCAATATGGTTAAGCAAACAACCTAGCAACACGAGAGATTAATTAAAAGGGATAAGAAGCAGTCTAGTTTATAGAAACAGAAAATAAAAGAAAAAAAGCTTTTGTCAAAATTGTGAAGCAATTTTGAGAATTATGTTTTACCGATACGCATGCAGGTATATGGCATTTCTTACAGGATGCCATCCTTTGTGTCATAAAGAACATCCTTCCTAGTGTTTCTGTTAAACTTTTGTCAGTTTAACTTTTGTCAGTTCTTGTCTTAGCCTGAACTTTATCTTGCATCCTTTTCTTATTAACTGTTATCTCATGTTTGATATTTCAGTCATCCAAGATAAGTATTTTTATTTCTTATAAGACTTTAGAGGTTTGTAGAGTTGACTTAATACTGAATCTCTTTAAGAGAACTGTTTTGTATCAAGGTGGCTAATTTAAACCTTCAATTTTCTTTTTTTTTTTCCTGTTAGTCATGATAGAACAATGCAAGATATTGTTTACAAACTTGTGCCAGGCCTCCAAGAAGGTAAGTTTTTTGGTATGGCCTATTTTTACTAAATGTTAGATTTACACATAGTTCCTTTACATTAACTAGGAGGAAGTGAGGAAAATGTTGGTGGGTGTGGTGTGTGAAAAATAGCATCTTCACTTGTTCTGGTTCTAGCACTACTTTTCCTCTATACGTAAATGCTGTTTATGTTTTAATTTTAGACTTCTACTAGCAGTGTTACTGAAAAAACTTCAGAAATTAAAATGCCAGTGCTATTTCAGGGAAAAGTAATATGTAAACCTAAATAGCACTGCAACTTTTTCGTGTTGATATTCTATAATTGCATGCATTCTTCTTTAATAAACTGTGTACATATTAATGTATTTTTGACAGCTTTGTAGAGTTCTCACAGGTAGAATACTATGCATAACTTTTAGTTTCAGTTAATTTTTCTTCTCCTAAGATGTACTTAAATCCTTTTCTAACAGCTACCATTCCATCTGTGTTCTTATAATCTATTTTGATAATGAATCTGTTGAACTAAAGGAATGCTTTATAGTAATTGTTCAGTATTATTTTTCAGTGGTGTGTTGCTACTTTTATTTAAGTAGAATATTTCAATCCAATTAAGCTGTCAAGTGATGGCATTATTGGACATTTATAAGCAAGTTTAGGTAAAGAGATTATTTTAAAATAGTTTCTAGGGTACTGAAAATCAGAAATAAGAATAAATTTTGAAATCAGTATTTTGACAGAAACATTGAAGGGGGAAACCCACAAAGTATGGTATAGTATTTAAAATTTATTTTATATGTAATAACAGAATGGTACAATAATAGATCTGCAAATAACTTCTGTTTTTCAAGAATAAGATCTAGGGTATCTTTATTATGGCAGCAAGAGTAGAGAAGTAGCAAGAAGTGCTAATATCACTTCCTGCCTGACAAGCTACTTTTACAGAATAGAAGAGAGTTTTGGAATATCTTGATAAATATTGTGCTAAAACTATTAAATAACTAGTATTTACAATTTTAAACAGCAGAAATTAAAAAGCAGAGGGAATTCTATTACAAACTGGGTATGGAAGTACCAGGGGACATCAAAGGGGAGATGTGCTCTGCAAAACAACATCTAGATTCACATCGCAATGGTAAATGGTGTTATGTTTATTCTGTCTTGGGGTGGGGGTACAGAGTGCCCTTAAGCTGCTGAAAGGATCTGTCAGACATAGGTGTCTAGCTAATATTAGCACTCGTAATTGTTTCATAATATTGCACAAGGCTTGCTTGTGCTTATATATTGGACTATATACAAGAACTCACCACTTTGAACTCACTATCTAAGTGCAGTAGTGTTTTGCATCACACTTGTTTATAGAATGTGTTCTTTTATCCAGCTGTAGTGCGTTCCCGGAGGTCTTCAGTAGTATCTATGTGGGAACTCTATGATATGAAAAGGTTACCTTATATCCCAGTCCTAAATTGCATAAACTTCAGAAACTGCTGATGTTAAGTATAATTTTATGATAGAAATGCTGTGGTGGTTATTCTTAAAATGCATATGTGTATGTATTTATCCAAGGGAAAAAGAATTCTCAAATCTGTGACTGTCAGGAGAGCACATGAGTTTTACGGGATAGTGAATGAGCCCTGACAGATTTGTAGCAAGGTGTTTTGAACTGATTTTCTGGGAAGCTTTGAATTAGTGTCCATATCTCTGCTACCAAGAATAAAGCTGCTTTCCAACTTTTTTCCTGGTTAGAAGCTGATCATACTCTGACAAGCCTAATTACTAAAAAAACAAACAAAAACTCCACAGTTGCTCTTATAGTCTTGACTTTGTTTCAGGATATCTGATATGTTTCAGTTCATCTGATATGTCTGATTTAATTATTGTAATGGTCTGCTTTCTTCTGAAAGTTGAAACTAAACCAGATGAAAATTCAAACAAAGAAACTTCTGAAGAAAACCAGGAAGAAGATGATGACTATCATCGAAGTGATGAACAGGTGGGATTACTTTTGATATAGGGCATTTCTTAGTTTTACTTTGTATTTCCACTTTATCTTTAAATTATTATTTTATTTTGATAAAAAAATTATCCTCTGACAAAGACAAGATAGTGTTTTCTTCAATGCTTTTGTGTAAACTTGCGCTTCATCTTTTTTATTTAGGTAGCTGTGAAGAAATTTGATTTTGAGAATTTCATTAAGGTTTCGTAGTTATTTGAGTTTCCTGAATATTGGCTAAGCATTGTGTTGGCTTTCATCTTAACTAGATTTCAAGTCATTTGGGCCATTTATCTGAGAGTCTACTCCCATGCCACTCCAGTGCATCAGGACTGAATATGTTTAGAAAATTAAAATGAAAAGTCTTCTTTTACTTAGTATTTAGTGTCAAGCTTTAAGCACAAAACCTGTTTAAGTATAAAACTTGCTATTGAAATACACAAGTCACTTCCTTTGTGTTTCCCTGCTAAATGTGCCCAAAGTAAATTAAGTTTGGATTAATTTTCCATTTAATGATGGTGCAATGGTAGTATTCAGATGGATTGTGCTTTGTAACAGATCATTTAAGTGCACAGAATGAAACTTATTCTAAACCTCTTAGACTAAATAAAGAAAATATATATTATTGAGAAAAGGAGAATTGAAGAACAGAGATCAAAAGGACACTTTTGTCCCATATAATCTTTGGAACGTCAAAAATCTGTTACATCATCTGCATGAATAATTTTTAAAGTTCATAATATTATTTTTAAACATGCCTTAAATATTAAGTTACATTACTGGATTCAGAGGTTAGATTAGAAATAGTAATTAAGAAGTACTAATGATTGTGTCCAGGAGCAGCAAGTACAGGCTGCTGCTCCATAGGGGCAAGCAAGACAGGAGCCAAGAGTGTCAGCAAGGCAGACGGGGCACTGACCTTTTGCAGTCCCACAATACCTGAAAAAGGAAGGCATAGCAGCTCTGGTGACAGTAACAGTAAATCTTTATTGATAAGTGAGACACCACTTGGGGTACTGTCATGGTTTAAGACCAGCCGGCAACAAGAACCACGCAGCCTTTGCTCACACACCCCCACCCCCCACCCCCCTCCGGAGGAATGGGGAGGAGAATCGAATTAATGTAACTCTCATGAGTTGAGATAAGAACAGTCCAGTAACTAAGGTATAACACAAACCACTACTGCTACCACTAATGATAATAATGATAAGGGAAATAACAAGGGAAGCTGTCCTGGGTTCAGCAGTAGCAGTCATGTTTCTCCTTTGTGGTAGCTGGTGCAGTGCTGTGTTTTGATTTCCAGCCTGGGAACAATGTTGGTGAAACCGATGTTTTCGGTTGTTGCTAAGTGATGTTTACCCTGACCAAGGACTTTGTGAGGCTCATGCTCTGCCAGGGAGGAGGGGAAGCCGTGAGGAAGCAGAGACAGGGCACCTGACCCAGGCTAGCCAAGGAGGTATTCCATACCACAGCACGTCATGCCCGGGGTGGGGGGTAACTGGGAGTTACCTGGAAGGTCACGGGCTTCCGGGTGGGACTCATTTCTTGGCCGGTAGTATCATATTCTCTCCTTGTTATTTTCTCTTATCATTGTTGTAGTTGGTAGTAGTGGTGGTGATTTGTGTTGTACATTGGTTGCTGGACTGTTCTTGTCTCAACCCGTAGGAGTTGCACCCTTTCGATCCTCCTCCCCGTTCCTCCGGGAGTGGGGAAGGGGAGAGCCTCGGTGGGGGGGGGGGGCTCGATTGTTGTCAGCCCGGCACCACTCACTGGGAGTGAGTGAACAAGTTGCCTGACTGGGTTTAAACCACGACAGTTCTTTTTTGGCGCCCAACGTGGGGCACGAGGGGTTGAGATAATGACAGATCTGACTGGATTAATAGTCACTCGTCACAATGCTGATTTATTGGCTCTCAAGGTTGTTCCTCTTGATCTCACAGTTTCAGTATATCGTATCTTACGTCCATCCGGTATTTGCTGTATTAGTGTTTTTCAAGTGTGGGGTTTGGGCTAAGGTTTTTGTCTCATTGTACTTTATGGTAATGACTTGTAATAAAATAGAATCATTGATCATGAAACTGATCTGGCTTATGTTCCCAGTGTGGTCACCACCTTTATACTTTGGGAGGTATATAATAGAAGTGCTTAGCAATTGCACATCTTTTTTCTCCTTCTCAGGTGCTCAACCTGTGAAGGAGACATCCTTTTACCCTCCCAGTCGTCCCCCCAGACCATTTACATTTGAGAGTTTTGAATTTTTTGAATGGCCTTTTAATGCTGTTGAGACTTGTTTGCTGATCGTGATGGGAATCACCATGCTAGCACGCATACAGAGTGTGTTTTGCCCATGACTGATTTCAAGAGTTAAGCAGAGTCAGGTTTGGGTCTTGTCTGGGGGTCAAACAACGATGTAGGAGGACCAAGAGATTTTCCCTGAGGCTGGACAGCCATGAGTGGCAGGGTGTGTGGGATAGTATGGGCAAGTATCTAGGTCAGTGGGCCCCTCCAGTATTTTGGAATTTCACTACCGAACAACTGCAAAATCCAGAAGAATTAGTAAAACACTTAAATGAGGTGTGTGGTCATTCTGGCCATACCAGAGATGGACAAATCACGGCAACGTGCTGGGGCTTGGCCTATGCTTCCAGGGCCTTGTTCAACACTATCCAGCACCTTCAGAAGGAAAAGAATGTTGGCGGATCTGAGGGCAAAGCAACAGTCGCTACTCAAACTTTGGCTGCAATGAACAGCGCAGCTACCCCAGCGGCAAGTACAGCAGCTGTTCAAACTTCTACTGCAACAGACAGCGTGGTTACCCCAGCTCCAAGCACAGCAGCTGCACCACCCCCAGCAACAAGTACAGTCGCTACTCAAACCACAGTGATAATCACTGCAGCCGAACCAGAGGACCAATTCGTACCAATATCGGTTGCCCCTGTACGGAAGAGAACAAGCAAAAAGGAGGCAAGAAGGGTGAAGCGAGATGAAGAAACAATGAATTCAGATTCTGATCAGGAATCTGATCAGGAGTCATCATCACATGACGAAGAAGAAGAAGAAGAGGTAACTTCTCGACCTCGGTCCTCAACCGAGCTGCGGAATATGCGAAAAGATTTTACCCGTCAACCAGGGGAGCACATCATCACCTGGTTACTCCGATGCTGGGACAATGGGGCCGATGGTCACGAACTAGAAGGTACAGAAGCCAAGCAGCTGGGATCACTTGCTAGAGAAGGGGGAATTGACAAAGCAATTGCAAGAGAGAAAAAGTCCCTCCGTCTTTGGAGGCGGCTCTTGGCAGCTGTGAAAGAAAGGTTTTCATACAAGGACGATGTTATGTGTCGTTCGGCCAAGTGGACTACTCTAGAGAAAGGCATCCAGTCTCTGAGGGAATCAGCCATTGTAGAGATGATCTATCACATCAAGCCGAATAACGGGGATACACCCATAGATCCAGATGAAGTTGAATGTACACGACCCATGTGGCGAAAACTTACACGGAATTGAATCTCGTGTGCAGGTCCCTTGAATTCACTCTTTTTCATGGCAAAACCAGCTTTCAGCAGGATTTGGATTATTTTCCTTCCTTTCTCAAAGACTTCTTCCTCTGTATCGCCCCACACAATAAGGTCATTAATGTCTTGCAGGTGTTCTGGAGCTTGCCCTTGTTCCAGTGCAGTCTGGATCAGTCCATGGCAGACAGTAGGGCTGTGTTTACATCCCTGCGGCAATCGGTTCCAAGTGCGCTGGACGCCCCTCCAAGTAAAAGCAAACTGTGGCCTGCATTCTGCTGCCAAAGGAATTGAGAAAAATGCATTGGCAATATCATTTGTGGCATGCCACTTGGCTGCTTTTGACTCCAGTTCATACTGAAGTTCTAGCATGTCCGGTATGGCAGCACTCAATGGTGGTGTGACTTCATTCAGGCCACAACAGTCTACTGTTAGTCTAGACTCTCCATTAGACTTTTTTACTGGCCCTACGGGGCTATTAAAGGGTGAGTGGGTCCTGCTGATCTCTTCTTGGCTCTTCCGTCTATGGATCAGCCTATGGATGGGAATCAGATTGTCTCGGTTGGTGTGATATTGCCACTGGTGCACTGTTGTGGTTGCGATTGTTGATCTTTGACCTTCAGCCACCCCTCGACAGAAGGATCCTCTGAGACACCAGGCAAAGTGGACAGCTGCTTAATTTCCTCAGTCTCCAAAGTAGCAATACCAAAAGCTCATTGGTACCCTTTTGGGTCTTTGAAGTACCCTCTCCTGAGGTAGTCTATGCATGGAGCCTCTGGACCAGTCACAATAGGGTGCTTTTGCCATTTCCTCCCAGTCAGGCTGATTTCAGTCTCCAGTACAGTCAACTCTTGGGATCCTCCTGCCACTCCAGGAACAGAAATGGGCTCCACCCCTTGACAGCTTGATGGCATCAGGGTACACTGTGCACCGGTATCCACTAGAGCCTTATACTTCTGTGAGACTGATGTGCTAAGCCATCTGATCCACACAGTCCAGTAAATCTAATTGTCCCTTGCCTCCACCTGGCTGGAGGCAGGGCCCCTCTAATAGTGATTACGATATTGGCCACTTATGTCTTGTAGAAAGGGATTATTCTTCTTTATCACAGCAGCTGGAGTAAAATCAACTCTTCCACTCCATCTGGAAACCTGCTCACCAGAGACTGAAGCCGCAGCTTTCATGGGATGATCATCCTTGACCTTTGTTCTCCTCTTCCATTCATGCACACCTTCCTCCAGAGCTGAGGTAGATTTTCCCTCCCACTTCCTCATGTCTTCTCCTTGATCCCACAGGTAAAATCAGTAGGGTGGCCTGTGTTGTGTGCCTCCGTCATCTCTCTCAAGCACTAGGATGTCTTTTGTTAATAGCTTCGATGTGGGTTGGTACACTTGGGGAACTGGATATATCGGACAGATCGTCTCTCAGTTGTTTGAGATCCTGGGACAGTTTTTCACAGCTGAGATGATGGAAGGGGTGAGATTGTTTTTGAACTCTCAGTGTTGAGGGATCATTTCATCCACTGTTGGTGGTGCTATATCATTCCAGGTTATTGCTGCCAATGAGTGGGCATATGATGACGGTGCATTCTGTGTAAATTTCCACCACATGGGTTGTATACACTGGACTTCGCCTTCATCTGTGGGTCCTTTCCCAGCATCCTGCTTGCGATAGGTCATCTCTACAATGGCTGATTCCCTCAGAGACTGGATGCCTTTCTCTAGAGTAGTCCACTTGGCTGAATGACTCATAACATCATCCTTGTATGGAAACCTTTCTTTCACAGCTGCCAAGAGCTGCCTCCAAAGGCTGAGGGACTGTTTCTCTTTTGCAATTGCTTTGTCAATTCCCCCTTCCCTGGCAAGTGATCCCAGCTGCTTGGCTTCTGTACCTTCTAGTTCGTGACCGTTGGCCCCATTGTCCCAGCATCGGAGCAACCAGGTGATGATGTGCTCCCCTGGTTGACGGGTAAAATCTTTTCGCATATTCCATAGCTTGGTTTAGGTCTGGGGTCGAGAATTCACCTCTTTTTCCTCTGATTCACATACTAATAACTCCTGGTCAGTTTCTGTTGGTGGTCAGTACTTTGTTTCTTCATCTTGCTTCATCTTTCTTGCCTCTTTTGCTTTTCCCCTTGCTTACAGGGGCAACTGATATTGGCACGAATTGGTCCTCTGGTTAAGCTGCAGTGATTATCACTGTGGTTGGAGTGGCTGCAGTATCTGTTGTTGGGGTTTGGGTATCTGCTGTACTTGTCTCTGAGGCTTATGTAGCTGCTGTGCTTGGTGCTGGAGTAGTTGCGACGTCTGTTGTGGTCAGAGTTTTAGTAGCTACTGTACTTGTTACTAGGGTTGGTGTAGCTGCTGTGCTTGGAGCTGGAGTAGCTGCGCTTGGAGCTGGAGTAGCTGCGCTTGGAGCTGGAGTAGCTGCGCTGTCGCGTTCAGAGTTTGAGTAGCTGCTGTACTTGTCACTGGAGCTGGTGTAGCTGCTGTACTTGGAGTAGCTGCACTGTCTGTTGCAGTCGGAGTTTGAGTAGCTGCTGTAATTGTCACTAGGGTTGCTGTAGCTGCTGTATTTGGAGCTGGAGTAGCTGCATTGTTGGTTGCATTGCCATCATATCCAGGGACATTTTTTTATCTTTGAAGGTGCTGGACGATGCTGAACAGGGCTCTGTAATCATTGGCCAAGCCCCAGAATGTTGCCATGATTTGTCCGTCTCTGGTATGGCCAGAATGACCACACACCTCATTTAAATGTTTTACTAATTTTTCCGGATTTGCACATGTTTAGTGGGAATTTCCAAAGCACCGGAGGGGCCCACTGGCCTAGATTCTTGCCCTTACTATCCCACATACCCTGCCACTCCTGACTGTTCAGCCTTGGGGAAAATCTCTTGGTCCTCCTATATTGTTGTCTAACCCTAGACAAGACCCAAACCCGACTCTGCTTAACTTTTGAGTTCAGACGAAATGGTCATGTGTAAAACACACTCTGTATGCGTGCCAACCTGGTGATCCCCATCACACTCAGTAGGCAGGTCTCAAGGGTACTCAAAGGCCATTCAAAACCTTCAGAACTCTCAAATGATGTTGTAAACGATCTGGTGGGGGAGCTAGGAAGTTAAGGGAATGTCTCCTTCACAGGTTGACCACCCGAGGAGTGGAAAAAAGATGTGTAATTGCTAAACACTTCTATTATATACCTCCCAAGGTACAGAGGTGGTGACCACACAGGGAATGCAAGCCAGATCAGTTTCATGATCAATGATTCTATTGTATTACAAATGATTCTATTGTATTACAAGTCATTACCATAAAGTACAATGAGACAAGAACCTTAGCCCAAGCCCCCCACCTGATAAACACAAAGCAAATACCTGCTGTAAGTAAGGTACAACGTGCTGAAACTCCAAGATCAAGAGCAACAATATTGAGAGCCAATAAATCAGCATTGTGACGAGTGACTATTAATCCAAAACAGTAAATTCTAATCACAAAGATGATTAGATACGCTCTGGTCAGATCTGTCGTTATCTCAACCCTTCAGGCCCCACATTGGGAGCCAAAATGAACTGTTGTGGTTTAAGCCCAGCCGGCAGCAAGAACCACACAGCCATTCGCTCACCCGCCACCCCTCCCCGCACGCTCCCGGACGGAGAATCAAAAGAATGTAACTCCTACAGGTTGAGATAAGAACAGTCCAGTAACTAAGGTATAACACAAACCACTACTGCTACCACCAAAAATAATAATAAGGGAAATAACAAGGGAAGAGAATACAACATCTCACCACCTGCTGACCGATGCCCAGCCTGACCCAAGCAGTGATCTGGGCCTTCCGGGTTACTGCCCCCAGTTTATATACTGGTCATGACATGCTGTGGTATGGAATACCTCTTTGGCTATTTTGAGTCAGGTGTCCTGTCTCTGCTTCCTCCCAGCTTCCCCTCCTCCCTGTCAGAGCATGAGACTCACAAAGTCCTTGGTCAGGGTAAACATTACTGAGCAGCAACTAAAAACATGGGTGTTATCAGCGTTGTTCCCAGGCTGAAAGTCAAAAATACAGAACTGCACCAGCTACTACGAAGGAGAAAAATGACTGCTAATGCTGAACCCAGGACAGGTACCCACTATACTGTGTGAAGTTCTGGTGTCCTCAACATAGAAAGGACATAGAGCTTTTGGAGCAAGTCCAGAGGAGGGTCATGAGGATGATCAGGGGGCTGGAGTACCTCCCGTATGAAGACAGGTTGGGAAAGTTGAGGCTGTTCAGCCTGGAGTAGAGAAGGCTGCTTGGAGACCTCATAGCAGCCTTCCAGTATCTGAAGGGGGCCTACAAGGGTGCTGGAGAGGGACTTTTCATCAGGGACTGTAGTGATAGGAAAAGGAGCAATGGGTTTAAACTTAAACAGCGCAAGTTTAGGTTAGATATAAGGAAGTAGTTCTTTACTGTGAGTGTGGTGAGGCACTGGAACAGGTTGCCCAAAGAAGTTGTGAATGCTCCATTCCTGGCAGTGTTCAAGACCAGGTTGGGCAGTCATGGGTGACATGGTCTGGTGTGAGGCATCCCTGCTTATGTCAGGGGTGTTGGAACTAGATGATCTTAAGGTCCTTTCCAACCCTAACAATTCTATGATTCTATGAGTCAGATCCAAGATTAAGACAAATCGGCAAATTAAAGTCAGGTCTGGAGACTGAGACAGTAACTGAGTGTATGCACAGTCCAGTGATCATCAAGCCAAGTATATACTGATCAATGATTCAAGGTCAACCCTAGAAGTCTAATCTGTGGGTTGGGGTCTAGACCAGTCACAGCCATGGCTGCAATGTAGCTCATGCAGGGGCACCAATCAAGGGAGGGAGCTTCAGCTTAAACAGTGCTGTTAAATGGAGCAAAGTGAGCCCACACTGAAATTTCTTCAAGGTTTTTCTCAACCAGCTCTTTCTTCACAACAGTTTCATTGTCATACAGCTGCTTGTCAAAATTGGCCCTGAGCTCAGGCAACCAAACCCCCAGTGGGGAGGGGGTCCTGACAGGTTTTCATATTAGATAACTTGCTTTGGCAAGTTGACCTAGGCTGCTTCTGAACTAGTGTAACCTCTGCAGTTAGAATAAAGCTGTGGAAGAAGGCAGCCCTCAAATTCTACCTTGAACTTTTCTCCAGATCCCTTTTGAGTTTGTGAGAAATAGTCTCTAGATAAAAACTTCTTGTAAAAGCTCAGAGTAGACACAATAGTGAAGCAGCTTTTATCAATGTTTTTGCAAAAATGGGTGTCCTTGCAAGTAGGCACACACAGCAAAGGCAGAACTTTGATTTATATTTCCTACCCCGTCCGCACGTTCCCTCCCTTTTTTCCCCATTAGTTGGGTGCTCCAAGGTTTACAGCCTGTCCGGCACATATAATCTACATGCTAACTGTCCTGTCTCTGTTTACATATTCCCTTACTCAATTTTGCATGCCCCTTCCTCTTATTTATTTATCTCCTTTTATGGTTCAATTTCATAACTCTCTGGCAGACATGTGGCACCCAAATTTACTGTTTAACCAGCCTGCAGCGGCTTAGTTTCATAGGTTGTACAAAGACAGTATTCTTTTTAACCACAGAGTGCATCCTTCATCCAAAGATGATATTGCCTTTAACCACAGAGTGTGTCTTTCTAACGTATGGTATCTCAAACCCTTTGTTTAATTCCCTTGGTAACTTAGCCCCAGCCCCAGGATTGAAAAATCTTAATATTGCAAAGCCTTAATATTGATCTTAAAGCTCTAATATTATAAAGCCTTAATATTACAAAGCCCCATCCCCAATTATGTGAAAACAACACAGTTTCTCTCACAAGTTGAATGGTGCTTAACAGTAAGCTGACAAAATAATAGACGATCTTTTTTTAAATGACACTGGATGCATTTTGCTTTAAGTACTGGTATTCTACATTTTCTCCTTATTGTTGGGCTAATAAATGTTCATATGAAATGCATAATGGAGACTGCAAAAAAGTCAGTCAACTAGTCCTGACTGTGTTTCCTTTTTCCTGAAGGTAAGCATCTGTTTGGAATGCAATAGCAGCAAATTACGTGGATTGAAAAGAAAATGGATCCGCTGCTCAGCACAAGCAACAGTCTTGCATCTAAAGAAGTTCATTGCTAAAAAACTTAACCTTTCTTCTTTTAATGAGGTAATGTTTTAATATTTAAAAATTATTTTGCAAATGAAAATCTTATGGATTTTCAAAATTGTCATTCCTTCCAACCAGATTTTTTTAAAAAAATGAAGCACACACTATTTCCTGATATAAAGAAAAAGAACATGGCTATTTAAGTTGAGCAGCACAATGCTAACAAATATTTTTTTCTCCAAATTTACCCCCCCCTTTTAATTTAAGGATGCTGGTCATCTTCCCTTTTTTCTCCACCTCCAGTACAATAGATATTTAGCTCTTATTGGTTCTTAACTTTATACAGATTTGGCAATGCAGCTCAGTGTGGCTCAGTGTGTTGTTTCATGACCAGTTTTAAAACATTCCAGAAAACTTGGTTATATGTTTTCCACCTGTGTTAAAACTGACTCCTGCAAGATGCTTTGTTTGGTGTCCTTAAATGAAAGGATACACTGCCCTAGCAGAGATTTTTTCACTCGGTGCAATGCAGAGAATGGATTATAACACTTGGGCACTACTGAATGAATGATCTAATGGAAAGCTATACATATATTTCTTCTGCTTCTCTACTCTGAGTGAAACTCAGCCTTATGTAGTATTAACTGATGCCACCTACCCTGCAGGGAGTATATAATTAGACTGTTTGTGCGAAGAAATCATGGTGGAGGGTAAGGGAAGAAAGAAAATACAGCCTCTGTTCCCTCTTTGTTGGTATTAGTCACAGTCCCCCTCCATCCAGTCTAACTCTCAAACTGCCATCTCTCAATCTTGAAAACTTCTAAGCATGGTGATGCCATGACCTCTTTGGGCAACTCATTCTGATGCTTAATTATCCTTGTTGAGATTTTTTTTTCCTTCCTTATATCCAGTCAGAACTTTCTCTGTTTACATCGATGATCACTGTCTCTCATTCTCCCACCAGGCACCTCAGTAAAGAGCTTGGCGGTATCTTCTCTATAGGCTTCTCTTAGGTATCGGAAGGCTGTAACTAGGTCCCCTTTAAGCCTTCTCCAAGATAAATAGGCCCAATTCCCTCAACCTCTCCTTATAGAGCCTCTGTTCAAGCACCCTGACCATCTCTGTGGCCTTCCGCTGAACTTGCTCAAGTTGATCAAAAATTTTCTTTACTGGATGCAGCATTTCAGATATGAGATATACCTTCCTTAAGCCTTATCCCTTTAAAACTAGCAACCTAATATTTCCTCACAATGTGAAAATAATGAAATGTTTCTCATTCCTCATATAATTGTTTAGTTAATCAGTATGTTCTCTTTTATCATGAGTACAAGGTGGTTATAACTTCTGAGCATTTTTCCAAAGCTTTAACTGTGATGCCTGGGTGGGCCCAAATCCTGAGTTGTAATGCTTAAATCTGTTAAGAGCTCTAAAGGGAGTCTTAATTCAAGTGTCTTGAACTGTTATTACATTAAATAGTTAAACCAATCTAATCAAGGCAAAGATGGATTAGGTCACAGATTAGCTATCTAGCCATGCAAAACTTTATTGAAGAATTACTGGCCACTCCAGTTAAACAGACAAAAATAAATCTCTGAACAAGCAAAATATGACAAGTGAGGCTTATATTGAATTTGTGGCCTTGTTAGCAACAGCAATGCCATGTTTCCTGGGCTACAAGGTCACTTTTATCACTCTCCTTTGGTAGTCGATGAATCCCAGGCTCTTGCTCAATTTGTCCAACAAGCATGCTGCACACTCTCCTATGGATCAAGGCTCTTAATCAGGACTTAGTAGAGTCTTCTTGGAGGTATTCACGAGGTCTTGTCTCATGATTATCTGTAAGGGTCTGACAGTTCTTCATGGCAGTGTATAGTCAGTACCTGATTTGCTAAATGTCTGTGATTAACACAATTCATAAAAACAAGCAAACTATTACTATAGGGTGTAGCTCCAAGTTAAGAATTCCTGCAATTTCAGGAAACCTCTCTGAGTCTGATAGGCACTGATGTGTACCACTGACTATAGCTCAAGTCTACTAACCACTATTGAAGTAGGTTCTTCTGGCAGACCACATATCTTACTCCTTGGTCTTGCTTCAGATTTTGCCTTGTTGCATTATAACTTTGTCAGCCCTCTGTTGTTGATAGAGTTGTTAAGTCTGTTGACTTGCAAAAATCAAAGCATAAAACAAGAATGTTAGTATAGTATATAAGTAGATCTAATAAACACAAGGTAAAATAACATATAAACCATGCCACCTCCCTTTTTATGAATATGATTTCATTTGGTCTTGCTGTGAGTAGGAAGGAAGGGGAACTAGACTAAATAGCCTCTGGAGGTAGATCTTTCAGGAGATTTCTGTGTCCCCAGTCTTGGCAAATCCATGCAATAAGGAATAGCTGAGGCTGGAAAAGAACTCTAGAAGTCATCTAGTCCAACTCCCCTGATCAAAACAGGGTCAACTAGATGAAATTGCCCAGGACCATGTCCAGTCGAGTTTTGAATATATTCACGAATGGAGACTCCACAACCTCTCTGGGCAACCTGATCCAGTGCTCAGTCACCCTTACAGTGAAAAATAATTTTTACATTTAAATGGAATTTCTTGTATTTCAATTTGTGCCAATTGATCCCTTAATTTGATACCACTGAAAAGTCCGGCTCCATCTTCTTTACTGACCCCATCAGGTATTTGTACACATTGACAAGATCCCCCCTGTGCCTTCTATTCTCCAGGTTAAACAATCACAGCTCTCTCAGCCTCTTCTCAAATGCCAAACACTTCAATACCTTAATGAACCCCTTGCTAGACTTGCCAGTATGTCCATGTCCTTCTTGTGCTGGGGACAGAGAACTCCAGATGTGTCTCACCAGTGCTGAGCAGGGGGCAATAACAACCTTCCTCAACCTGCTGGCAATGCTTTTCCTAATTCAGCTCAGGATAATATTTGTCTTGTCTGCTGCAAAGGTGCATTGCTGGCTCATGGTCAACTTGATGTCCAACAGGACTCCCAGGTCCTTCTTCTGCAAAGCTGCTTTCCAGTCAGTCATCCCCCAGCCTATACTGGTGCTTGGTATTATGCCTCCCCAGGTGCAGGATGTGGCATTCTCCTTTGCTTCATGAGGTTCTTGACAGCCCATTTCTGCAGTCTGTCAAAGTCCTTCTAAGGACAGCAAAAACATCAAGAGTATCAACTCCTTTGGGTTTTGTACCATCTGGAAATTTGCTGAAGGTGCACTCTGCCTGTGTATACAATCATAGAATCATAGAATGGTATGGATTGGAAGGGACCTTCAAAGATCATCTAGTTCAACCCCTCTGCCATGGGCAAGGACATCTTTCAGCTTCCTCAAAGCCCCATCCAACCTGACCTTGAACACTTCCAGGGATGGGGCGTCCACAACTTCTCTGGGAAACCTGTTCCAGTGTCTCACTACCCTCATCATAAAGATTTTCTTCCTTATATCCAATCTACCCTCTTTCAATTTAAAACTGTTGCCCCTTCTCCTGTCATTACAGGCCCTGGAAATAAAATCTTTCTCAGTCTTTCTAATAACCCCCTTTATATATTAAAAGGCTGCAATTAGGTCTCCCCAGAGCCTTATCTTCTCCAGGCTGAACAAGTGTTCCAGCCCTCTGATCATTTTCATGGCCCTCCTCTGGACCCACTCTAACAAGTCCATGTCAGGGATTCCAGAGCTGGATAAAGTACTCCAGGTGGGGTCTCATGAAAGCAGAGGGGGGAGAATGACTTCTCTTGACCTGCTACCCATGCTTCTTTTCATGCAGCCCAGGAAACAATTGGCTTTCTGGGCTGCAAGAACACATTGACAGCTTACATCCAGTTTTTCATCCACCAGTATCTCCAAGTCCTTCTTACAGGGCTGCTTTCAATCCACTCATCCTCCAGTCTGTATTGATATTGGGGATTGCCCTGACCCAGGTGCAGGACCTTGCACTTGGCCTTGTTGAACTTCATGAGATTTGCAGGGACCCACTCCTCAAGTCTGTTAAGGTCCCCCTGGATGGCATTAATCAGCTGCACCATTTAGTTTGGTGTCATCTGCAAACTTGCTGAGGGTGCACTCAATCCCATTGTTTATTTTATTGCTGAATATATTAAATAGTACCGACCCTTGAGGGACATCACTCATTACTGGTTTCCACTTGGGCATTGTTCCACTGACTTCCTTCAGTTTACTTGCTGTGCTTCTGTTGATACACCCTAGTATCCTGCTCGGCTTCATCACTGCCAGAGCACACTGCTGACTCATGTTCAACTTGCTTTCAGCCAGGATCCCCAGGTCCTTTGTAGCCTGTCCTCACTTCCACCTCCTGTATATGTCCTTTTTCTCATGAGCTCCCTGTTTATCTAAGCTGGTCTCCTGATACATGTATTCATTTTCTGAATATTGGGATGGACTGTTCTTGTGCTTGGAGGATATTGTCCTTAAAGGTTTATCACCTCTTGACCTCCCTTCAGAGCTGACTCACGGGATCCCACTTACCAGCTTCCTGAAAAAAACAAATTTTTGCTCTACTGAAGCACAGGATCTGTACTCTGCTACTTGATTTCCTCAGTCCCTTCAGGATCTTGAACTTCACTATTTCAGTATTTCATGGTTGCTATAGCCAAGATTGCCCTTGATTATTGTGTCCCCAGGAAGTTTTTCCTTTTTGGTGAGTAGGAGATCCAGCTGTATGTCACTTATGGTTGGCCCATCTAACATAAGTGTTAAAATTCCTAACACCTTTCAGAAACCTAGATTGCTTTCATACTAATTACACCTTTTATTTTTGTGTTTAAATTCACTATTCCACTGCCTCAGTCTCTGGTTTTACAACCTACTTGGCTCTTGCTGAAATGTAAGAATGTTCACTCAACAGTGCTTCTGCCTTTTAAGGGCACATAGCATTTTTGTGGAAACCGTGTATTGGTATGTCCAGTGAAAAATATGTTTTGAGGAATAAGGCCCTAAGGATGTGAATGCCTGGTTGAATGCTATAGACAAATCCTGGTGCATGCATATTCTTAGCTTTCTCAGGTTATGGTAAAGTACCATTGGCATATTTCACTTTCATGGTGACTTATCCTTTCAGTACATGTCACCTTGAAGTCAAATAGGCTAAGATCATGTGCATGATCATCCACTGCAATTCAGCTGATGGCTGGTCATGTGATCTCACATTTGCTTATGAGTCCATGCTATTGCTATTTCAAATATTAATATCTTTCAAAGCTGACATAGAAATGTAAAAACAACTCTAAAGCGTCTACAAAAAAAGTCCTAAACACTGATGTATAAGCAGGGGATAGGTTTTTAAAAATGTATTTTCAAGGTAGAAAGTTACTTGCTGGGTACTGTGTAAACAATTTTCATAGTATGTCAAAAGACAAGGCTGTCATTATGTGAGAATTGAGTTCTGTTTCTTTGATCTTTTTATTGGTCCTTATCTGAAGTGTATTGTTTTAAAGCCATGTTCTGTGTCTCAGTGAATTAATTATTTCTTCTTTTTACATCAGCTGGATATATTATGCAATGAAGAGATTCTTGGCAAGGACCACACACTCAAGTTTGTAGTTGTTACTAGATGGAGATTTAAGGTATGACACAACTGTTTTTCATCAAAATTTTAATGTTCAATGTAAATCATTAGCTGACTAAAGAACAATGTTCAGAAAGCATACATCATGCAGGCAAATAATCAAAATGGTTAAAATATATATTTTAAAATTTCTAATAAACTATCTTTAAAAATAAATATTTTCATTAATTCAAAACTGAAAAATAGGGAAAAATGTAAAATATGCCACTAAGGAAAAGGGGAAGTTGAAGGCAGATGTCAATTTGATAGTAATTAAAAATGTATTGGGTAAAGGAGTCTAAAGGCATTGAGAGGGACATTTTTCTCAGCCATATCAGACAGATACAACTAATATTACTCCGTGTAGATTGTGAAACGGGTTACAAAACAGAACAGACATATATTCAATACATTCATGTTCTGTAGTTTGGAAGAGAGAGGCTGAATAATGAGGTGGATGCTTCCCAATTCAGTTCAAGAGCAGTATTTAGTAGGCATAAAGATGGCTGGGGAAATCATCTGAGTGGGTCTCTGGGTTACTGATGTTAGTTTCTTTAAACAAAACAAAGCCAAAACCCCACTGTCCTGTGTTCAGCAGTAGCAGTCATTTTTTTTCCTTCTTAGTAGCTGGTGCAGTGCTGTGGTTTTGACTTTCAGCCTGGGAACAACGCTGATAACACCGACATTTTTAGTTGTTGCTAAGTAATGTTTACTCCGATCAAGGACTTTCACAGTCTCATGCTCTGTCAGGGAGGAGGGGAAGCCGGGAGGAAGCAGAGACAGGACACCTGACCCAAACTAATTGAAGGTGTATTCCATACCACAGCATGTCATGGTCATTATATAAACTGGGGGGAGTTACCCAGAAGGCCCAGATCACTGCTCAGGTCGGGCTGGGTGTCTATCTATGGTGGTGAGCAATTGTATTATTTCCCCTTATTATTTCCCTTATTATTATCACTGGTGGTCGCAGTAGTAGTTTTGTATTATACCTTAGTTAATGGACTGTTCTTACCTCAACCCATGGGAGTTACATTCTTTTGATTCTCTTCCCCATCCCTCTGGGTGCAGGGGGAGGAAGAAGGGGGATAGTGAGTGAGCAGCTGCATGGTTCTGAGTTACTGGCTGGGCTTAAACAACAACACCGACATAACAAAACTTAGAGCAAAATAATAAATGATGGGAGATTCGTATTGAGCATATTGAGACAGCAGTATGCCCAGGTGGCCAAGAAAGCCAACACCATCCTGGCTTGTATCAGAAACAGTGTGGCCAGCAAGATTAGGGAAATAATAATACCCATGTACTTGGCACTGGTGAGGACACACCTTGAATATTGTGTTCAGTTCTGGGCCTCTCACTAAAAGAGAGATATTGAGTTGCTGGAGCAGGTCCAGAGAAGAGCAACAAAGCTGGTGAAGGGCCTGGAGTGCAAGTCTTATGAGGGAATTGTGGTTGTTTAGTCTGGAGAGGAGAAGGCTCAGGGGGGACCTTATCACTCTCTACCTGAAAGGAGGTTGTAGTGAGCTGGGTTCTTTCTTTTTTGTCTCCCAAGTAACAAGTGATAGGACAAGAGGTAATGGCCTCAAGCTGCACCAAGGGAGGTTTAGATTGGATATTAGGGAAAATTTCTTCACCAAGAGAGTGATCAGGCATTGGAACAGGCTGCCCGGGGAAGTGGTGGAATCACCATCCCTGGAAGTGTTCAAAAATGTGTAGATGAGGCCCTTAGTGACATGGCTTAGTGGTGGCCTTGGCAGTCCTGAGGTAAAGGTTGGACTTGATGATCTTAAAGGTCTTTTCCAATCTAGTTGATTCTATGATTCTAACATTCCAGGTATGGCCTAACAAGCGCCGAGTGGGAAAATAACTTCTTTATCTCTGCTGGTGACGCCCTTCTTGATGCAACCCAGCATGCTGTTGGCTTTCTTTTCCATAGCTGCAAACTGTTCACTCATATGGAGCTTACTGTCCACCAGGACCCTCAGGTCCCTTTCCACAGAGTTGCCCCCAGCTGATCCCAGCCTGTGCTGCACACCTGGATTGTTTTCCCAGGTGCAAGACCTTACATTTGTCATAAGGTTCTCATTAGCCCACCCTTCTAGCCTATCCAGGTCATCCTGCAGGGTGGCTCTCCATTCCAAAGTGTCTATTTTACTCCTTGATCTTGCCTTGTTACATTATAACTTTGTCAACACTCACTTGTTGATGAAGTTGTAATTAAGTCTGTTGACTTGCAAAAATCAAAGCATAAACCAATAATGTTAGTATAGTTTATAAGTAGACCTAATAACCACAAGGTAAAATAACATGTAAACCATACCAAAATGTAAAGAATACTAACAATAACAATAATGATAATAAGAAATAACAAGAGTAGAACTGAAAGCTCAGAATCCACCCCTTATTGCATACTACTTACTTCATGCTCGGACCCCACATTTTCCAATATACCATCACTTTTTTTTGTCTCTTGATATATATACATAAATACAACAAAAGATATCATTCCTTAGTTCATGGACCATCCCTATAAAGTTTGTTGAGTTCATTCAGTTCATGAAGTCAGGCTTCAAGTGTCGTAACGGACCTTCAGGGAAGGAGAACATGGTATATGGTGTTGGAGTGTTGCCTGATGACGTCACTGCTGAGCTCATCTCATTTCATCTAAGTTTATTCTTTGTTGGGGTGATGATCAAAAGGTAGTTGGGTTCTGTCAGTAGTGACCTGAAGACAGTACTGGGAGACTCATGATGCTGCAGCCACTGCTGCCTTTCCACGACTTCATTCTCTGATGATGATCATGACCGCACATATTTTCTTTGCAAAGTCCGGAGTTCACAGCTACAGGTTGCGTGGAGAAGAGATTCAGAGCAGCCCTGCAAAGAAAGACTTGGGGTGTTGGTTGATGAGAAAATTAACATGAGCCAGCAGTGTGTGCTCGCAGCCCTGAAAGCCAACCGTATCCTGGGCTGCATCAAAAGAAGAGTGACCAACAGGTTGAAGGAGGTGGTCCTGCCCCTCTACTCCGCTCTCATGAGACCTTTTGGAGTATTGTGTGCAGTTCTGGTGTCCTCAACATAAGGACATGGAGCTGTTGGATCAAGTCCAGAGGAGGGTCACGATGATGATCAGGGGGCTGGAGCAACTCCCATATGAGGACAGGCTGAGAGAGTTGGGGCTGTTCAGCCTGGAGAAGAGAAGGCTGTGTGGATACTTCATAGCAGCCTTCCAGTATCTGAAGGGGGGGCCTACAAGGATTCTGGGAGGGACTCTTCATTAGGGACTGCAATGATAGGAATTGGGGTAATGGGTTCAAACTTAAACAGGAGAATGTTAGATTAGTTATAAGGAAGTTCTTTACTGTTGTGGTTTAAGTCCAGCTGGTAACTCAGAAACAGGAACCTGTTCACTCACTCCCCCCCCCCTCGCCCCCCACCTTCCTTCCCCTGCTCCTGGAGGCATGGGGGGAAGGATCAAAAGAATGTAACTCCTACGGGTTGAGATAAGAACAGTCCAATAACTAAGGTATAACAAAAAAACACTACTGCTACCACCACAAATAATAACGATAAGGGAAATAACAAGGGAAGAGAATACAACCGCTCACTACCGCCAACAGATTCCCAGCCCGACCTGAGCAGCGATTTTGGCCTTCCAGGTAACTCCCTGAAGTTTATATACTGGGCATGATGTGCTTTGGTACGGAATACCTCTTTCGGTAGTTTGGGTCAGGTGTCCTCTCACTGCTTCCTCCTGGCTTCCCCTCCTCCCTGGCAGAGCATGAGACTCAGAAAGTCCTTTGTCAGAGTAAACATTACTTAGCAACAACTAAAAACATTGGTGTTATCAGCGTTGTTTCCAGGCTAAAAGTCAAAACCACAGCACTGCACCAGCTACTAAGGACAGAGAAAAATGACTGCTACTGCTGAACCCAGGAAAGTATCCACCCCTATTTCATACCATTCACGTCATGCTCAAATCCCACATTTTTCAATATACCATCACTCTTGTCTTATATATATATATACACACACACACAAATCCACATGCACAAAAAGAGAGAGAGATCATTCATTAGTGCATGGACCAATCCCTATAAAGCTGCTGAGTTCATCCGGTCCATGATTTCAGGCTCCATCTCTTGTAACAGTCTTTCAGAGCAGGGGAGATGGTGTGCAGTGTTGCATTGTTGCCTGCTGATGACACCAGAGAACTTGTCTGGTTTCATCAAAGTTCATTCTTTGTTGGAATGATGGTTGGAAGGAAGTCAGGGCAAGTCGCTGGTGACCTGAAGGCATCTAGTTGGTGGGCTATAAAAGTACTACATAGCAGGCAACAGTATACAGTTGACTACTGTCCTGGGTTAAACAGTAGCAGTCATTTTTCTCCTTCTTAGTAGCTGGTGCAGAGCTGTGGTTTTGACTTTCCGCCTGGGAACAAGGCTGATAACACCGATGTTTTCAGTTGTTGCTAAGTAATGTTTACTTTGACCAAGGACTCTCTGAGTCTCATGCTCTGCCAGGGAGGAAGGGAAGTTGGGAGGAAGCAGAGACAGGACACCTGACCCAAATTTGCCAAAGAGGTATTCCATACCACAGCATGTCATGCCCAGTATATAAACTAGGGGCAGTTACCCGGAAGGGCTAGATCATTGCTCGAGTCGGGCTCGGTATCGGTCAGCGGGTGGTAAGCGGTTGTATTCTCTTCCCTTGTTATTACCCTTATCATTATTGTCATTGGTGGTAGTAGTAGTCGTTTTGTGGTAAACCTTAGCTACTGGACTGTTCTTATCTCAACCTGTGGGAGTCACATTCTTTTGATTCTCCCCATTTCTGTGGGAAAGGAGGGGGCGGGAGAGTGAGCAAGCGGCTGCGTGGTTCTGGGTTGCCAGCTGGGCTTAAAAAACAACAAATTCATTGGCTGTTTTCCCCTAAAATCAAATCCCCTTGAGGTACACATTGGACTTCCCCATCTTCCTCCATTACCCACACAAGTATATCTGGGTCCCTGAGCAAA